GAGATGAAAGTGTATCTGGCTTAGGTTATGCTTTAGCAAATTGCACTAATCTCTCACATTTAACGCTTGCACTTAGGTAAAAAGAGTTAATTTGTTTTGAATTATGTTAATTTTTAAAATGAAAATGAATTAAAAACAATATTTCTGTTTTAATTTATTTATTAGATTTTTATTTGATTTATTTTAATTATATCTTTTGTTTTTTTACTTCTTTTTTGTTAATTTAATTATATTATTTTTTCTTCAATAAATAAAAAGTTATAATTAAATTGGTGATGCTGGTGCATCAAGCTTAAGTTCTGCTTTAGCAAATTGCACTAATCTCTCAAATTTAACACTGGATCTAAGGTAAAAAAATTTAATTTGTTTTAGATTATGACAATTTTTTAAATAAAAATGAAATTAAAAGAATATAACTCTTTTTGTTTATTTATTAGTATTCTTTTTTTTATTTTGTAATTTTTTTTTTCTTTGTTAATTTAAGTTATTTTTTTCATTTTTAAACTTTTGCTATTATTATTATTATTATTATTAATTAATTTCTAATTTTTTTATATATTGTTTACATTTTTTCCAATTAGCTAAATAATTATATTATTTTTTCTTCTATATTTAAATAGTTTGAATAAAATTGGCTCAATAGGTGTATAAGACTTAGGTTTTGCTTTAGCAAATTGCCCTAATCTCTCAAATTTGGCACTTTATCTTTTGTAAAAAATAGTTTATTTGTTTTAGACTGTGATATTTTTGAATATAAAATTAAATTTAAAGCATTGCTACTCTTTTAATTTACTTATTAGCTCTTTATTATATTGTTTTTTCTTTTTTAAATATATAATGTTTTTTTTATTTTGGATTTAAAATATCATTTTTAATTTAATAATTTTATTCAATTTAATTTTTTTAGTAATATACAAAAAATTATATTAAAAGTGGAAATGAAATGAATGGATCATAATAATTGAAAGTTGAAAACAAGTGTCTTAAATCAAAAAGATTAGTAGCCTTTTAAATATATTTCGAATTGTGACAAACAAATAAGTGGTAAAAAAGGATGAATAAATATAAATATATTTGAATAATAGAATATAATAACTAAATTATAGATTTATTATTATTTTAATATTTATAGATAAATTCAGTCCTCAATTTTCACCAAAAAAGATTAATATTTTTAATAATAAATGTTCCTTATTATATCTTATTAAATTACATAAATGTGAAGCATTAATTTCATAAATATAAATTAGATGTATTAGAAATGGAAATTAATATTGTTAAACTTAGTAAAGGTTAAATAAAAATTACAAAATATATCAAATATATCAAATTTTAAAACATTTTAAATATTTATATTTTCTTATAGTTATTAGAAAGCTAGTATTACTTTCTTGTTTTATAATAATAAATAATAATAATAATCAAATTGTTTATTAGTGCTTTATATTAAAAAAATAAAATTTAAATTGAAGTTATAAAAAAGATTTATGTTTGAGAAAAAATTTTTCTTAATTTTTAATTTTAAATTAATAAAAGTTAATAATAATTACTATATATATTAGATTTTAAGAGAGCTTATCCACATCTATTTTTTAGTACCTAATTTTTTCTAAAATTTACAAATACACAAATTAAAATAAATCAAGTCTCTTAAATAGGGTGAATGGATAACATATTTTCCTATATATATTATTTATTGAATATTCATAATCTAAGATCGATTTTACTATGCTTTTAAAAATTATTTTCTAAAAACAATAATTTATTATTGTTTGTAAAAGCTTTTTCAGTTTTTTTGGAAATTTCAGAAAAAACTGAGTCAAATCTCATTATTTTTTCTATATAAATTATTATTAAAAAGTATTTCATAAATGTAAATTTATTTGAAGTTGATTTTTTCATTTCATTGAATAATTAATAAAATTTTAAAAACATACATATAAATATAAATTTTTGAGTATTAATTAGTATTTACTATTTTGATATTTATTTTTAATAATAGATAATAATAATTAAAATATTAGATAAATCTTTTGTTAATTATTTTAATGTTTAAATCATGATATTTATTTAATATTCTTTTTTAAAACAATATTTGTTGTATGCTATAAAATAGATTAGATCTAGTCTGGTATATTTTCTTATTTGTTTTTGAATTTAATACAAGAGTAATTGTGCTGAGGAAAGTAATGCTGAAATTCATGAATAATATCGAATTCCATAACTACAAAAATATCTTTTTCTAAAATTTATTCTTCAATAAAATTATTTTCTGCATTAGATTCAGAAAAAGGTAAATGCTAGGCAATACTTTAAGTACTTTCTTTTAAGAACTCACTCTTTTTTTCTTTAATACTTAGTCTTAAGTTATCCTTAAATACAGTTATTTTTCTTCTCGATTTTCTTTGAATTTACTCATCATCGTTCTGAAAATCTTTATAAGCAGTGATTTTTCTTTTTGACCTTCTATGAAACATCTCATCTTCTTGTACATATTGATCTTTGTATTCATTTATCTGATCTATATTTCTATTATTGCTAATTACCATTTTTTCAGGTTTTTAGGTTTCTTTTAATTTAATCTTTCTATTTTATTACATCCTTTTTTCCTTTTATGCAAAACTAATCTTAATTTAATCATCTGGCTATAGTTAAATTTAAGGCTACTGTTAAAAATGACTAGAATCACTTTAATTTGGTATTATATCAAAACTTTGAATTGGTTTCATTTTAGTTGGACTCATGCTGAAGGAATTTTCTTATTGAATATTTTCTGTTTGAATTTTTTGTAGCTGTATTTTTGAATAATTGTCAAAGTTATTTACATTTTGTATGTGATTCTTTTAATTTTAAGGTGTTCCATCAGCTACTGATTATGATGGTACTTAAATAGTTCTATTAGACTATTGGTAATTATTTGGCGAATAAGGAAGCATTTTATTTAAAGAGCTTTCTCTTTACAGGTTATGTATTGGTAAAGGCTTAATGCTTGTTTGTGTTAGTAAAACAGGTTATTAATGGTTACTTATGCTTATTTAATTTTACTATGCATGTTATTATTAATGAATGCCAGTCTAATTATTATTTTTGTAACTAAGCAAGGGACTAGCAGGAGCTTCAGGTATTTAAAATTGTGATGTAGGTATGTAGGGGTTTGATGATTGTAAGTTATATAAATTCTGCTTTTATGAATTCTATGCTAAATTTACTTGCATTTGATTAGTATAATTTTAGCTTATATGCTTTAAAATAGGAGTTTGGTTTTATATAAAATGATTGCTCGTTGAATTAATCACTTAATTTTGTATATTTGTTCCATGAATCCCTATGCTACAGTTTGATTCTCCTAAAGAATTTTAGTTTTTAACATAATTATTTTCACTTAAATTTTCTTCATTTATTCCTGAAAGTTGAAGGGACTTTTGATTTGATAAAACATTACAAAAATCCTTATTATTCCTATTAGCTTGATTACTTTACTATGTTTCAAAATCTATAAATTATTAATCATCAAGTATGACATCATAATTTTTTGAAAAATGAATATTTTAATCATTGAAAATCGATAAATTTTAGTTCTAATTGTACAGACTACCATAAACAGAAGATTTATTAAAGTCTTCTTCGTCTAAAGCCATCACTATTTCGTTGTGGTAAAAGAAAAATTCTGGCACTAAATTAAAAAATAACTCATCGTGATCATATCCAATATCTTAAATTGCTTCTATTAAATGTTCATTTTTTCGTTATAGCTTAATAACAACATTATTAAATTACTTATTTAAGATATTAATTCTTAAATTTTTAAGCTATTATCTTATATATTAGTTATGTTTTAAAGTGAAATTAGAACGGAGACCTCTTCTGACAAAAGAACTATCGCGATAAAGTTATTCTTAATAATAATTGACTTTGTTAATTATGAGTTCTCTTCTTGGCTTATACTAAAGCAATTGACATTAAGTTATCTCATGGTCTTTGTATTAACAACTTGAGCAATTGATATCACACTCTTCATAGTTATTCGACACTTTATCTTTAATCATGCAGTAGATTTCCTTGACAAAAAAATTATTGTCACTTATCAAATAATTAAAATAACTTTACATAATCATCTCTAAATTCCTTAAGGATTTATATAAAATCCTCTTTGTGTATAATAAGAATGGATGTGTTTTCTAAGCATTTAGCTGTAAGTTTTCTAGCTTCTGATGAAAATAAACTATGTATCCCATACTATTATCCTTTCTATTTTGATAAATATTTATTTCTTTAATTTTGATTTCTTTTTACTTTTTTAAAAATATCTTTAATTTTTTTGCTTAAAAATATTTCATTAAATAAAATATTTTTGATTAGTTTACTTTTAGTTAACCTAAAATTCTTTGCTAGCTAAAGCTACCATTTAGAGATACCTCTAATTCTACTTTTCCCGACATTACGAAGAAGAATTTGTAATCCAAATCACCTTAAGAAAATATCTTTTCATCTGGACCATATGTTTACTCTTTCATAATTTAAGAAAACGCGCTTAAGCATTTTTTGCTAAAATACTTTTTGAAAATGGAAACTTCATTAATAATTCTACCATAAAAATCTTCATAGACCTATTTGAATCATAATTACAATAAAAAAATGAGCTTGTATTTAGTAATAGTGTAATAGCCAAAAATAAATTAAAATTTTTGAAAATATGCTTCGACAATTTATAATTAGCAATAACATCAAATTATTAAAACAGTGTAATTTGAGTTTATTTTACCATATATAAATTTAATTACTTTAAATGATCTCTTATTTAATAGTCGTAAAAATTAAGAATTTAATTACATTTTATCTTAAACTCTTTGGGATTGTTTACAAAAATTGCTCGCCTACTTTTGAATATTTTAGTACTTTTTCCTAATGTTATGTATATTCTAGGTATTTTATAACCCCAATTTAAACAGGTTTCGAAATCTTTCTATCATTTAAATAGGAAATAACTTGATATCTTTATTTTTTAAATTCAGCTGACTTTTAAGAGAATTCTAAAAAGAGCGAACCAATCGTGTTTACAACGTAGGCATAGACTATGCATGTAATTAAAGTAAAATAAATTACATACATTTTTTCGATATCTGTAATAGGCGTGATATCTCCGTAACCTACTGTAATCATAGTGATAAAGGAAAAGTAGAGAGCATTGAGATATATCTTTTCCCATGGATCGTTAGTCAGATTTTATTTAACAAGCCAATTTATAGTGTAATCTTTTTCAAATTTTGTTATAAATACAAATCCACAAGCAAAAGTATGTGCAATCAAAATTATCAAACCAAGCAGTTTTGAAATAGTAACGAAAATTGGAAATTTTTAATTAAGAGAAAAATTTTATTCAATAATACTGATATTAATAAATAAAGATCGCAACCTTACTATAAAAATTAAATTTACAATCTGATTTTCTTAGTATATTTAAGCAAAAATGCTAATAAGAGAAGTTATTATTTCCATCAAATTATGTTTAAGAATTCTTTACCTATCTACTACTATATCTAATCCCGAATAATATCCAGCATTGAGATTAAGAATAAAATCTAATATAAAAAAACAAATAGATATAACTCTTATTGGTTCTACAATAAAATCATCTTCAAAACCGACAAGCAATAAGCAGCGAAAAAGATGATACCCAACTATTACTATTTAAATAATCTTCCAAATATCAAAAATATAGTTATTAGGTTTCAAAATCGGTATTATATCGAGAAAGTATTTCACATTAACTTTTTCATTTCTTATAAGCGATAAATCACCTATAATATCTTTATGAAATTATGTAAGACGAGCATACATAGCAGAAGGTACATACCTCATAAGTTTTGAAACTAAATTTTTCAAAAACATAATCTACTAAAATGATCCCAGTCTTTTAGAATGAGCCTTTTTGAATATGGACCTGTTTGTTTATTAACCTTTTAAAGTTAATTGTTTTAAGGATGACACTTTAGTGAAACTTAAATTCTTTACCTTATTTTCATTTTATAGCTAAAATTATTCTGATTTATATTTTTTACTCCGTTAAGACTGGTTTAAATCAATAAATTCTTAATTATGTTTTTTAAAATAACTTTCAGGAAGATGTTCATCTATATGTACCAATCTCTTACTTTAGTTGATGTGTGTAGATTATAATTTGTTAGTACTTTATATTTATTTACTATTAGATTGGTTATAAATACTAGTTTAAACTACTCTTTCAGAGAGGTTTTTTTATGTACCTGCTTTTTAACATCGCTCATCGTTTTCAGAGTTAACTCTTGAGTCTATTTTCAGCACTACCTCTTTGAAATCATCATCAGCTGTTGTTTAGAATTTCCTTCTTTCAGCGCCTTCAATTAACGTGTTGTCTTAGATGCTCTCGAATTCACTATTTTAATACTCAAAAGTGTGATTCTAAAACATCTTCTTCTTCTTTTTTTTTTTTTGTTTAGACTAAAGTTTCTTTAATTAAAATTTTTTAAAAATATTTATTTTTCTTTCAGTTTATTAAAATTTTTTGATTTCGCAATCAGCTACAAAACAAAACAAATAAAAAATTTGAGATTTGAAATAAAGAATTGAAATAATATTTACAAAGCTTTTTCTTTACAAATGTGTAAGTAGAATTTATTATCCAAATTGATTACAGTATAAATTTAAATAATTTTAAAGAGAATAAATACCATTTTAATATATAGCATTCAATAAATTAAGCTATAAATTTTAATTTCTTAAATAATAATAATATAAGGAGCATAAGTAAAAATCATTATAATCTAAATAATTTATAAACTATAAACATAATGTAAATCCTGTGTTAGATAAGTTATTCTCTTCTTCTTGACTCTTAAGAATTATTAAAAATAAATAACTTAATTATCTTAGCTGTTCTTTAAAAATAATTAATTAAAAGACTATAAGCAATAAAATTCTTACTTAAAAATTAACTCTTACGAAATATTTAAAATAATAAAATGATATTTTAGCTCTTTAAATTAAGAACCTTTTAAGAATATTTCTTACATAATTTCTTTTCAATTTTTGATATACTTTGAATCATTAATAATTTTTGATTAAATCAAACAAATTTTCTGTGTCTATAGGCTTTCTGATAAGAATATAATAAAGTTAGTGTTTAAAGAGTTTACCAATTATAATTAATAAAGATGATTTTGTTTAGATAACTATTATGATGTAGGCATTTATATATTAATAAATATGTATAATTAGTATTTTAATGTTTGCAAAGAATTCACATTCTTATTTAGTTTAATTTTTAAAATTTATAAAGGATTTATAAGGTTTTATCTGACTAATCTTATTAGTTTCTAATAAATATTTATTACTTTTTATAAAAAAAACAAATATTATAGTATTCATTCATTTATAAAACTTAAGTAATAAAAGATAAGCAAAAATGCAAGAGAATTAATATGATTAGTTGTTGAAAGACGTTGAAAGAATAAAAAAATGTTCATTAATTACAAAGTAAGAAATTAGCAAAAGTATTGATAGTGTATTAGAGCTTTTAGTAGAAGCAAAGCATCAGATAAATGAGCCTATGGAAATAGAAGATCAAGAGGTTTATTTTTGATATCTTTTGTTTTGAAAGCAAAAACCCTTTTATAATTTAGTTAAAACTATATGTTTTTTAAATTTACATAGGTGAGAAGGAGAAAAATAAAGGATAGCATAAATAATTTGGATGAAAAATTAAGGGTAAAATCAATTTAAAATTGGTATTTAGTTATTCTAGTTAAACACCTATTTCTTTATTAACCATATACAGAAGCTAGCAATTTTATTCTAAATAGTAAAAATATTTTTTTTAAATATTACTGATGCAAATAGGAAAAGAAACCACTTAAATCTGTTATTGACAGCCATAAAAAATACTTTTAGTACCTATCAAAGTATGGAAAGAACATCGAAAAGATATTTAAAAGTGATATAAATAATGTTTTTAAGGATACATTAGTTTCCTTTGAAAAAGAGTGCGTGAATGAGGTAATTCCAATGAATAATATTTATACTCTACAATAAAAGTGAAAAAAATAGCAAGAATATATTTTGCTGATATTTCTTTTTTAAAATAAAGGCTATTGCAGAGCATTTACTAATCGAAAAAAAATTTGAGTTGTATGAAAATTTCTTAAAAGAGACAGGTTTAAGTCACAAAATAGACAAAGAGAAATAGAACATTTTGAAAACTATTTAAAAGGTAGGCTTATAATAAAATATTATGTAAAGCTATCAAGCTTATTAGCTAATTTATTTAATTAACATAGATATTTGATGAATTCTAAACTAATCAGCTAAATGAAGCTATTAAATGGGCTTAGACTAAAAAAGAAGAACTAGAAGACTTAGACAGTCCTCTTCTTTTTTATCTGCATCGTCTTTAAGTAAACAAAAAAATATAAATCTTTTAAATTAATAAGTGACTATCCTTTGTATTATTAGTTCATCTAAAATCTATAGAAAGGCAAAATGGAAAGCATTCAATATGCTAGAAAACATTTTAAAGATTTCTTTAATTAAAAAAAATTTGCTGATTAAGCACAGTAAGTGATGTTCTACATACTTTTAGAGAATGGGTAATATTAAAATAATCTATAAAAAAAGTAAAATAAATTTTTAGCAAAATATAAGATCACTGTCAATTAGACCAGTCATACAAACAAGTAGAGGAACTGCTCTTAGATAATTATTGCAAAATCTATAGTAATTTTTTAAACAAAAATCGAAGCAAATAAGTATTATTGATATTTCAAATAATAATAGACCTTACTATTAAAAGTGCTCTTCTTTAGTGTTTAATTGCAGGAACACTAGGTAATTATCCTTCAATATTAATCTTTGAAGTAAATTTTTTAATTTTGATAAAATAATAACTCTAGCTCTTCCTAAATTCTTGAAATACACATAAATTTCGAGTATGGATGAAGAACTCAAAGATTATCACAACAAGAATGAATATCCAATCGAAGTCGAAATAGGAAAAGATTTCAAATATCATTCTATATTTGTTTGTCCTATTTCTAGAGATGTTATTGAACCTGACTAAAACCCTGTTTGGCTGACTTGTGGTCATGTTATATCAGAGTAATTAATTTGCTAAATTTTAACTAAATTTTAATTATAAAAAAAAATAGAGCATCAATGAAAAAAATAACAGCAAGTGCAAATAAAGAAAAATTTAAATGTCCAACTTGCCCTAAAGAGATGACAGCTAGAGAGACTAAAAAGATCTATTTTTGAGAAATTAGAATTTTTATTCAATCAGAATATTTATTTAAGCTTTAGGGTTTTAAATCTAATTTTTACCTATTTAAAATAAAATGATATAATTAATTAGAAAATATTTATTAAACGCTAAAAATTATACTATTAAAAACTACTTAAAAAATACTACCATGCAGCGAATTCAAAAAAAAAAAATAATGTAAAAGAAAATCTTATATATAAATCTAATCTCAGTATGCTATTTGTAAATGTAATTTTATTTATCGAGTGCTTGCTTGCTAATTAACTAACTAACTAAGTTATTAATCATGAATTAAATTTAATTATTAATTTTTAGTTTTTGAAAATATTTAGCATTTTTTATTTTATTTTAAGTTATTTAAATCACAGCAAAAGATAAAATATTTTAAACACTTAAATAAAAAATATTTTTAATTGAATACAAAATGAATAATAACGGCTAATTACTTGTAGCAATTAGAGTATATATTCAAAATAAATAGAAGTTTATAAGTAGGATGTAGGTAGATAGATAGATCATAAGTATAAAAATAATAAATGATTAATTAAGATAGCTAAAAATAAAGAAAACCTTTATTGTTTGACAAAAAATAAAGAATTTGCTATTGAATCTAAAAGATATTAAAATACATTCTTTATATACATATATAAATGCATACATATATATTTAATGAGTGAGTGATTTGTATTTTTTACAAGGAATAATTAATTAAAAAATAGTATTGAAAATAATTCATAATCAATTCTTTTAATTTTAATAGTAATATACTGAAGAGATTCATAAAGATAATTATAAATATAATAAATTAGCAATATGGAAATCAGTGATAACGATAGTGTTTTATCTTCTGATAACGAGAACGACGTTAAGTTAAAGGGATTTGATAAAAACCTTAAAAAAGATGAAGATTCTGATGCAGATGATTAAAAGAAGGTATTGGCTTCATCTAAGGCTAAGGAAAAAAAGATAAAGGAATCAGAAGAAGGTGAAAAGAAACCCAAAAAAATTCATTTAAGAAAAGATAAAGGGTATGCAGACTACCTTATAGCTGAAGAAGATACTTCCGACCTCCCTCCAGTTACTGTTATTGTTTAAGGTCCAAAGCAGGTAATTTTTAAAGTCTTGCTTGAGTATTTTATAACAGCAAAGAAATGTAGAATTAGAATCTTAATCTCACTCACTTATTTTTATAAAAAAGAGTGGTAAAACTACTTTGATAAAGAGTTTAGTAAAAACATACACTAAGCATAGCATTTAGAATGTTAAAGGTCCTATTACTGTTAGAGCAAATAAAAAGAGAAGAATTACTATTATTGAATGTCCAAACGATATAAGTGGTATGATCGATATGGCCAAAATTGCAGATATTGCTATTATATTAGTTGATGCCTCTATTGGTTTCGAAATGGAAACATTCGAATTCCTAAGTTTGCTAAGGGTAATTTATTTTAATTATGGCAAATATTATTGATCTAAAAACTTTTCTCAGTTAATTAATATTAAACACGATATAAATTCTATAATTAGGCTCATGGTTTCCCTTCCATTATGGGAGTTCTTACTCACACTGATTTCTTCAAAGACAATAAATAACTTAGAAAAACCAAAAAGAAATATAAAGCTAGATTTGAACATGAAGTTGGCAATGATTCTAAACTTTTCTATCTCTCTGGTATGAAATATGGCTAATATTTAAAAAGAGAAGTTCTTAATTTATCAAGAATGATTGGTGTTATGAAAGTACAACCTGTTCCTTGGAAGTAGACCCACCCATTCATCGTCCCTGATAGATACGAACACTCTCGTGAAGGCTCAAAAGTAGAAGATAATGAGCTTGTTGATGTTAGCTTTTATGGTTGGATAAAAGGCTCAACCTTCCGTTTGAATAACAAGATTCACATTGTAGGTAAAAAAAAATATATTTATATCAAACTAAGCCTAAAAAAAATACTCTACTTATAGCAAAATTTTAATCCCCAGTTTTATAAAGTATTTATGATTTTTTTAATAAAATATTAAAGGTTTAGGAGATTATGAAATTGATAGTACTGATATCATCGAAGATCCTGTTCCTGTTGTAGAAGTTAAAGTACATGAAGATAAAAAGAAAAAAGAGGAAGGAAGTGGTAAATAGGATGGTTAAAGCGATGGTAGTGAAGGTGATGATGAATCAAGCGAAGAAAGCGAAGATGAAGAAGAAAATAAATAAGAGGGTAAAAAGGAAGAACCCAAAATTAAAAAAATTAAGCAAAAAAGAACATTGAAACAATCAGAAAAGATTGTTTATGCCCCTTTCAGTAACTTAGGTTTTTTGAATTATGAAAAAAGTGGTGGATATATTACTATTCCTGATGAGCACGTTGTCTTTACCAAAAAAAATTAACAAGATGTTTATGATGATAATGGAGAGTTGATAGAATAAGTAAATAATTTTTTATAGTTTATTATTTATTTACATTAATTAATAAATAATAAAGTAGGAAGATGAAGATTTAGGTGAAGGTGTTAAGATGGTTAGAGATTTATAGGATATGAAAAAAACTTTAAATGAAAAGCTAGATGAAGATGACGATGTTGAACTTCTCGATGGTATCGAATTAGGAGAACAAAAGAAAAATATTCTTGAATTCACAGCTGAAGAAAAGAAGAAATTAGATTTTAAGGAAAAGCAAAAAGAAATAGTTAATCTTAAGCACAAGACTAAGGATTTAAATTAAATTGCAAATGCTATAGAATAATAATAATCAGTTATGGCTACTGATTTACAAGATCTCATTTATGGGTAATTACTTATTTCTTTAAGTTTGTTGAAATAAATTCTGAAAAAAATTAATTTTAAAAATTAGTAAAACTGACAAAAAAATATGCAATTTCGATAGCAGTAACTTTAGAAGTAAAGAATTATACACTAGAGATTTATATAAGGCCTTAGTAAAATGCAAATTTATGGCTGGCTCATTGATAGAAGAGGAAGCCCCAGAAGAATTAGATAGTGATGCTGAAGAAGAATAATTAAAGAAGAAGAAAGAATAGGAAGAAGCTGAAAAATTACAATAGCAAGAAGTTGACCCAGCTGAAAAGCAAAAAGAAATAGATTAATTTATGGATTCATATCTAGGTATTTTAAAGAAAGGTGCATATGTCAAGATGACTATTAGAAATATTTAATTCAAGCACTTCAGAAACTTTAAGCCTGAACATCCTTTAGTTTTGACTAGAATTAATCCAGGAGAGGACAACTTTGGTTTCCTTAAAGTCAGAATAAAAAAGCACAGATGGTATAATTCTCTTCTTAAAACATTAGATCCTCTTATTTTCTCTATTGGTTGGAGAAGATATTAGAGTATCCCTTACTTTGTTTCCCAACAAAGTGATGCACGTATGAGATATTTAAAATATACTCCATAATATGAATATTGTGATGCTGTTTTCTATGGTAATTTTGCTCCTCAAAATACAGGTTTTGTTTGTACTCAAAGTCTTAACAATAAATTAGTAATTTATAATTCAAACAAATATTTACATTTAACTTTTTCCTCATTTCATTAAATTAATTAATTATCTTTTTTAAATAAATAGGAGAAATTTAGAATTTGTGCTACTGGTGAAGTCCTTGAATTAAATCATACTTTTGATATAGTAAAAAAACTCAAGCTTGTCGGTGAACCTTTCAAAATATACAAAAATTCCGCCTTCATTAAGGGAATGTTTAACTCATTCGTAAAATATTTTAGAATTAATTCATGTTCAGTTTTTTTAATTAATTTTTTTTACCCTTTACAGCTAGAAGTTTCTAAATTCGAAGGAGCTCAAATTAAAACACCTTCTGGAATCAGAGGTTAAATTAAAAAAGCAGTTAAAGAAGGACCTGATGGTTCATTTAGAGCTACATTTGAAGATAAAATTGTAATGAGTGACTTAGTATTTATGAGAACTTGGTACAAAGTTCCTTTAGAAAAGTTTTATAATCCTATTATCTCTTATGAAAAGTAATATCTATCTATCTTTTTTTTGTTTGAGTGTAATTTAATATGTTTTTTTGAATTTTTAGGACAAGACTTATGAAAACAACTTGGGAATTAAGAAAAATGCTCAATATTGATGTTAAGTAAAAGGTCGACAGCGAATACTAAGAAATTGAAAGAACTGAAAAGAAATTCAATCCTTTGTTAATACCTAAAAACTTAGAAGAAAATCTACCCTTCAAGTCAAAATAAAAGGTTAAGCTACTTTCCAAAAAAGAAAAGTTAGCTAAAGCAGAATCGAAGATCCCTATAAAAGAGCTTACATCAGAAGAAGATAAAAAAGTATTTGCTCTTATCTAAAGACTTAATACAATCAAAAAAGAAAAGGTAATTTACTAATAATTAATTTAATATGTTTTTGAAATAATTTTATTCTAATCAAAAGTTGGCACAAAAAGCATAAAAAACAGAAGAAAAAAATAAAGTTAAGTAAGCAAGAACAGAAGGAGAAAAGAAAAAATTCCAAGCAGCTAAAAAAGAATATGAAAAAGAAAAAAATAAAGAAAAATTCACTAAAAAGGCTAAAATGGCCTAGAAAGCAGCAAACGGAGGTGAATCTGATTGATAATGTTTAACTGTATAAACAAAGCAATAAACAACAATAATAATAAGTTTAAATTAAAATAATTGTTTTAAATGAGATAATTAAATAAATTAAAAAAAAATTAACTTTTTAAATTTAACGTAAAATATATACTTTCTATTTGTAGTATTTGATATTAAAATATAGTTAAATTGCATTTCAATCACATTTATAAATCAATATCAATTTTTATTATTTTTCATTTTGTTCATCATCATTATTTATTTTCTTATTTTAGCATCTTTAATTTTAATAAGTTTAAATTAAAATAATTGTTTTAAATGAGATAATTAAATAAATTAAAAAAAAATTAACTTTTTAAATTTAAATTAAAATATATACTTTCTATTTGTAGTATTTGATATTAAAATATAGTTAAATTACATTTCAATCACATTTATAAAATATTTATTTATTTATCAATATCAATTTTTATTATTTTTCATTTCGATCATCTTCATCATTATTTATTTTCTTATTTTAGCATCTTTAATTTTATAATTATTTAGTTAATTAATATTTTAGTTAATAATTAGTAAGTTTAAATACTCAATTTTTTAACTATCTATTCTTTTATCTCAATTTAAAATTTTTTAAAGATAACTCTAAAAATATTTAATTTTGATAAATAAGTGATTAAAGCAAAGTTAATTTAGTTTTAAAATGTTTAAAATTTTATTAAAACTTTTTCTTAAAATAAATGTTAATTTTACTTTTGGTTTGTTGAAATTAATAAAATTTAATTTTTTTATGCCATAACTGGACTAGATTTATATTTAGAGGTTGGTCATGCGTATCCAATTATTATTTACTTAAAAAATGAAACCTATTTATTAATTAATTAATATATGAATAAAATGATATAAACACTTATTTATCAATAAATATGGATATTTAAAGCTATTTTTGATTAATTAACAATGTATTTATTTTTTAATTTATAAAAAACAAAATTTTATCTTTTTACTATCAAAATAAATATCAATTATTCATTCAAGATAAACAAAAAATTTAAAATCAATTTGTAAAATATATTCAAATTATCTAAAGCTAATTGATTGAAATAAATAGTAAGGCGAATAAATGTATTAGTAAGAAGAATACGAAGTTAACAATGAAGGCTAAGAAGATGTTAGCAAGATAAATGCATTAGTAATTTTAAAATTAAAATGAAAGGATAGGGAGTGTAGTTAATTGGGTTAAAAATTTGAAAAATATAATATTAAAGTTGTAATCAAGCTCCATTAATAAATTAGATATCTCGCTCTCTATTTTAATACCCTACTAAATTGAAATGCATTAACAAATAATAATTTCTCTTATATAAAAAGAATTTGAAATGGACTTTAGGTTTTAATTTCTAGCTCACTGATGGCGTTCACAATTTAACAAATGAAAAAAGAAAAGTAATTTTGTTAATCAGATTTGAAATATAATTAAATAAGTTTATAATAACTAACTACACACGAATTAAAAATTCATAATATGAATAAAGGAAATTTTCTATCCTGTTGCGCACACTGGTGTTATATACGATTATGAAAACAATACATAAAGATTATTATAGGGTCATTGTAATAGAATTACAGCAACAGCATATTGCAAATTCTCAGATATAATTGTTACTGCTGACTGGTGAATATTTATTTATAAAATTAAATTTTAATTTGATATGCTGTTAAGCCTTAAACATAAATTAATTTAAATCATCTATAAAAAGCGGTCCAGATTCTATGTTAGTAGTCTGGGATGCATCAACAGGTATTCCTAAAAAGACTATCTTTGAACCACATCCTAATGGTTGTTAAGCTTTAGATGTAATAATTTTTATTAAAATTAATTATATAAAATATAATTAAAATTCAGTTTTATTTAATATATTGTTTGTACTAATAAAATTATAATTAGATTTCTCAAGATGGACAATTCATCGTGACTCTTTCAAAAGAAGCTAATACAGATACTGATGTATAATCTCTTTCTTTGTGGGAGTGGAATAAAGATGGTAAAAAATAGAAATATTTGTTTGTTTTACTCATTATGTAAATGTTTCCTTTAAATATTAATAGATGAACCATGTTTGATTACCAATGAATTCGATAGAAGAATTAAGGATTATTAATATTTCGTTAGATTCAATTCAGATGATAACACTGAATTTGCAACAACTGGTAAGACAAGAATTGTTTTTTGGAGAAGAGAAGGAGAATAAAAAGGTTTTAACTATTATTCCCCTGGTAACATTCCATCTCTTAAGGTTCTCACTCAAACAGTATTTATACCTGATAATACATAGGTAAATATGAAATATTATTAAAAGTCTTCATTACATTTTTGTTTATATTTAAAGGTTGTTACAGGAACAACTGATGGTCATATTATTGTATGGGATATTTCTCTTATCATAGAAAAAGTAGACACTCCAAAAGAAAGAAGAGCAATTAAATTGGTTGATCTTATGAATAAATCAAAAAAGCCTGATGGCAAAAAAGGATCAAATTCAATTAATATATTAAAAATTTAAGATAACTATTTAGTTATTGGTTCATCTAATGGATCTATCCGTTTTTATGACTTTCAATACAGAATTATAGCTTGGTTTGAAGATGCAATTATAGGCTCTATCAGCAATATTTCTTTTGCAAATACTCCAATGATTGAAGACAATGAAGATGAAGATGGCTTTGATGATGAAAGAAAAGTATGTTTTTATCTTATTTAATTGTTCATTTCATCATTAATTAATAATAAAAAAAGGATAAGGGTGAAAATGAACCTAAATTTATCTGCCCTGACTTTATTGTAGTAGATCTTGATGCAACTATCACTATGTTAAATTACAAACTTTTTGAAGAATTAGATGATGAAAAGAAAAAGGGAACTACTTTAATGAAATCTATAGTTTCACCAATTATTGCAATGAGTTGTAGACCAAACTCTAATGTTATTGGTATTTGTTGTGAAAATGGTTATCTTTATGAATGGAATTTCTAAGAAAAATCTTCCGTTCTATCTATTTTAAGAGTATTTGATACAGATAAAGAAAATATTCCTAATTGCATTGATTACTCTCCAGATGGAAATTGGCTCTCTGTAGCCACTAAGTCTGGTAAAATCCATATATTCGATTGCAAAGAAAAATAATGGCAAAACTCAGTTCTTGAAGTATCTGAAAATGAATAAGGTGATTAATAAATATTATTTTTTTTTTCAAGTAAAGCAAATTTAAAAGAAAATTTAAAAAATATTTAGGAAAACCCAAAGTTAATATGCAGGTATTTTCTTCAGACTCAAAAAATCTAGCTACTATGGATGCTGATTATGCTGTTTCACTCTTTACTATTGATCATAGATAATTTGATGTGAATATTCCAGAAAAGGAATGGTAATTCGTTGGAAAGCATAGAATCCATCATAGTGAAATTAAATCTATAGCATTTGGCGAGTCAAAAAATGAAAACGATAAAAAATATTATAGATTATTTAGTATTGGAGCAGATATGAAAATGGTAGAATATGAAGTTCTTGAAATCGACTATAGCAAGCAAAAAGAAAAAGGATAATAAATAAATTATATTGACAGACTAAAGCTTAAATCCATATATCCAGTAATTAATTGATTACAATCATAAAGAATTATCATATACTTATTTATTTATATTTTATTTATTAAAGATTGAATAAGAAACAATACCTACTGCATGTATCTGGTACCCTATAAATATGTATAAAGAAGATGTCCTGCTTACAGTCAATGAAGAATTCAAAATAAAATTGTGGCAATTTATGAAGGACAATTTCAAATGTATTTTAAATAATATAAAAATTATTTTATTTAAAAAAAAAAACAAATTCTTAAAAATTAGTTTGTAAAAAGACATGTCTTGGTCCAATTTATGGTGGCGCAATAAATAAATTACTAATTTTAAATTAAAACGATGCTTAAAATGATTATTAAGATAAATACCTTGCTTATTCAACTAAAGAAAAAGTAGTAGGAATTATTAAGCTTCCTTTAGAAGGTAATTTAGATATTTATCAATTATTTATTGATTTTTTATTTTTAATTAATCAAAGGTAATCCTAATTAAACTATGGGTTTAATTGCTCACCCTGATAAAATTACTAGTATTAGTTGCTCTAATGATGGTAAACACTTCTTTTCATCAGGTTCAGATGATTATTGTGTTAATGTATGGTCTGTCAATGTGTAGGCTTTAGAATAAATATTTGCAAGTACAATTAGTTGATTAAAAAAATTTTGTTATTTTATTATTGCTAATAAAAATAGCCAATCCAAATGAAGACCCATATCCAAAACTTCTTGAAGGTGGAGAAGATGGATAAACACATTAAGACTTAAAGAATTTCTTCTATTATTCTTAGATTAGAAGTAAGGATGAGCATACAACAAAAGCAAGAAAGCTAGATGGTAAAGTGCCATTAATTGCCATTCCAGATATGATGAGGTCTATGGGTTACTATCCTACTAATAAGGAAATAGAAAATATGTAAAACGAAATTAGATTCTCTAAATATCTTGATCCTGGCGAGTAGGTAGAAGAATTAGACTTAAACATGTTCTTGAAGTGAGCACTTTTAAATATTTATTTAATTAAAATTTAATAATTTTATTTATTTATTTACTTACTTAATATTTTATTAAAAAAGATTATTCGTCAATCACAGACCTGTATAAGGTATTGGTAAATCAAAAATTGCTGAGTCACTTAATACTTTAACTAAAAGTTTGAGTGATTCTGCTAAGGAAATTGCTGAATAGGCTAAAGGTTAATCTGTATAACCTAAAACATATAATATTGATGGCATTGGAGAGATTTCTTTATAAGACTTAAAAAAAATATTAACCACTGAAGGAGAGCGTATGACTAATGAAGAATTTGATGGTAATTTATAATATTTTAAATGAAATATTAAATAAAATTAAAAATAGAATGTCTCAAAATATTATGTGGTGAAAATGAAGACTAAATTCCTCAATAAATTAATGTAAACAATTTATGTGAAGATATTTTAGGTAAGGAGCAATTCATTTTCATTTAAATTTTTTTTTAACTAAAATTTATTGATAAATAGGTTTTGAAGATTTAGAAGGTGAAGAAAGAGATGATAACATTGAAGATTAGTATGAAGATGAAGAAAATGAAGAATATGATTAAGATTGAATTTATTTTACCAATTTTTATATTACTAATTAAAATTAAGAAAATAATTTAGATTTGTAAATAATCTTTAAGTTTATTTTATAAGTAAGTTGCTTACTTGCTTGCATCTAATCCTAAATTTTCAAATTTACTTTTCTTCTTTTTTTTGTACAATTTTTCAAATATTAATTTTCATTAATAAATTTAAAATTATTTGTAATTTTATTCAATAAAAGCAATAAAATTTATTTTTTAATATTTATTTATTAATAAATAATAGAAAAACTTTCAAATTAATACGCTTAAATATTCACTATGATGAGATATTATAATCAGGAATTATCAAAATCATTTGTTTGTTAATTTTTGATATACTTTTTTTGAAATTTTAATGATAAAAGCTGATCAAAAAATAATTTCCTTTATTAATTTTACATTTTTGATGAAATTCTTTCTTTATTTTAATTACCAAATATAATATTTCTATGTTAATTGATATGTTTATATATAGATAAGTAATCCTTCATTTAAAATATTTATATTTTTAGAGCTATTTAAAATAATTTAATAGTTTTTATTTTCAATATATTATTTGTAGAAATTAGTTTTTAATCTCTACATAATAAATTCTTCAATCTAAAATATTTTGAGAAATTAAATAATTAATTATCCATGATTAGAAAAATTTATATTTTTTAGAAATGTTTCAAGCCATTATAAACCAAAAAATTATATTAAAATCATAAATAAAAAATTTAAACTTAAAAATTTCAAATAAATTTATCTTATAATTTAATCATATAAAATCTTATTAACGTGATTATTACTTACTTACTTACTTACTTACTTTTATTATATATTTAATTAAAAATATTTGCTATTTATATAAAAATAGAGTTGAATATCAGATTATTTGTGAGTTTTTAATTTCTGTTGCTAATTTAAATGATTATTATTTTTATTATGATAAATTTTATTTAACAATATTTAGAATGAATAAAATCACATTTATCTTTACTCTTTTATAAAGTATGATTATTTTTTTTTCAGCATTTTATATTTTTAAAAAGGCAATATTGGTATTATAAATAAATCTAAACAAAATATTTATCTTAATAAAGCTAGAATTTTTGAACTTTTATTTAACTATTTTTAAGTATATAATTAAAATCGAGGGTGTTATAATTAAAATTTTTATTTTTTGATTTTAAGATTTTAATTAATAGAGTTTTAATTTACAAGAAAAAATAGTATTCAAAATAAATTATAATATTTTCATCATTTTAAAATATGTATATAAATCATTTTAATTATAATAAAGCCTTTAATATAGAATTTTAACAAAAATCAAGTGTTTAATTTTATCATTAATATTATGGCTTAGTCAAATCTTATTAAATAATTTTTTATATTAAGATGTGATTTGAATGATTAGTTCAATGACCATGACCATGATGAGCAGGCTTCTTGGATGAATTAGAGTTAGCCTTGCTTTCTTCTTCGTCATTAAAAACTACACATTCAGTTGCATTAATGCAAGAATCAGGGATATCAAAAACACTCATATCAAAAGGACCTTCTTAGAAGTTGTAAAAGACTTATTAAGTAAAGTTTTCTGGAGCTTCTGTAGGGAAAGCAAAACCAGCAGGAACTCTATGACCAGTAGGGGTAGTATACTTATGGAATCCATAGTAGAAAGGACCTGGGGGAGGAATATCTAACCAATAGTAATCAACTTCTTCACCATTCTATTAGTAAGTGCCTTTAAGTTATAAGTTATGTTCAACAATAAAGTTAGGGTGAGCAGGATGGAATTCAGTAGCAAAAATACAGCAGGGAGGTCTAGTCAGCATTGGCTTATCAATCAACAAATAAGCAGTGCGCTTAGTGTTTAAAAATCTGCATGGGAATTAATGATAGGAAGAAGGATTTTAAAAGATAGGAATACAAAAGTCGTAATAATATTCAATCATTGACTCAGTTGCAAAGTCGTAATAAGTAGCACCTTTACCCTTTTATAAGTAGAAGTTAGTAGCAGGATCATAAGGAGCATCTTGCTCAAGGGTATATATATCCCAATCCATTCTATATTAATTAGGAAGAACAGGCTTATCCTGTTATTCACCTTTTCTGATAGAAAAGGCTAAGGAGAGACTAATCAAGCAGAGAGATATCAACAAAAATTGTTTATTCATTTTTAATGATTTATATAAGCTTATTTTTTATAATTAATTATAATATTTTGAAAGAAAAGTTTTCGTTGAATATTAACTAAAACCCTTTCTTTACTTCTAATTTCTTTTATTAAAAGTTTTAATTACTCAAATTTAGATGATTTAGTCTTTTTTATGATTTTAGCTTTTTTTTAGTTTTTTAACTAAATCTTTATTTACATTAAAATTCTTTTATTAATTAATTAAAGATTATATTTGTTTATCTAATGCATCGATTATACAAATACATACACTAACTATTTCAATAATATAACAATAAATCCTTCTTCTTCATTTTCTTAAACTTAAGCTCAAATTATCAAAAAAAATAAAAATGGAGAAAATATTTTCTCTCTCTTCTAAGTTTAGTAAACTAGTTTAAGCTTTAGTATAAAATTCAATAAAATATAAAATAAATCAAAGAATATAAATTTATTACATATCTTCATTTAATTTTTTAATTACTTAGCTCTTTTATTATCCTTTAAACTAATACAAAAATAAAATTAGCTAGAGTATAATACTCTTCTTTATTCTATTTAACCTATTTTGATTAGAAAAAAGTGGTATGGTATTGATTATAAACTAAATAAAAAGAGAAATTAATCATTTCTTTTACTTTTTTAGTATAAAAGCAGAGTTTAATTGTGAATTTAGGCAAAATAATAGTTTAAGAATAAATTAGATTTTTTAATAAAATAAAAAAAGTGCTTGTATTTATTACCAAAGTTTAAATACTTTAAAATTTAATACTTAAAATGCAAAATTATTTTTCTTAAAAAGACAAAAGTTATGATTTTATTTTGTTTCTTAATTTAATATTAAAAATATTTTTTTTAATTATAAAATTTAAATATAAGAAAATGAAAATAAATTTTAAAAAAATGTTTATTTAGAAATATTGAAAATAGCAAGATATTAATTAATTTTATAAATAAATAATTAAGAATACTTAAAATTTAATTTTCTCACTAATTTAATCTTAAGATTATACTTATCTTCATTAATATTCACGAAGTGATATAAAATAATAATTTTTATTTAATTTTATTTTTTGTATATTTTTACTTTAATTAGGCACTATTAAAGATTTGATTATATATATGATGAATGATGTTTAAATATTTGATATGAATTATTTGTCAAAAATTATTAATTATTTAAATAATTTTTTTAATTCACTTACTATTTAAAATTTAAATAAAGAATAATTAATAAAAATTATTGCTATTTATAATTTAATAATAAATTTATAGGCAATTAATTTTTGATAATAAAAAAAATATCTACTTAATAACTAATTACAATTCATCAAGTATATTTAAAATACCAAATTTCTATATTAAACTTTTAATATAAACATCTATTTTTTCACAATAAGAATATATACACTTTATCTATGTTTAATATATATTGATTATCCATTGAATTATGAATATTGATTGTATATTTGATTATCTTAAACAATTTTCAAATTGGTAATTTCAGTACATTATCAAATGAAATTATAAAATTAAAAATTTCACTTCTGTTATAATTCTTTTATAGTAATAATGGTGTTTAAAAGCGATAATTAAATCAAATTAATTAATTAAAATAAATTAGTTTTATAATAAATGAATTTTAGTTCAATAAAATAAAACTTCCAAAGTGGTTCTTTATTTAAAAACTCATCTCAATTTAATATTTTAAAAATTATATTTGAAATAAACTAAATTTTCTAATAAATTTAACATCTTAAACTAATGCCAACTTTTTGCTTTAGCTATTATAATTTAATAATTATTAGTTTTTCAATTTATCTATACATATGTCCTATGGGTGCTTGTTTTTACTGAAGAAATTAAATAATTCAAGATTATTTGAATTTATTAATTAATGATAAAAATATTCTTTTTGTTTTTTTATTTAAATTTCATCAAAAATATTTTGATGTGGAAGTTTTGTACCATTTTATAGAATTTTCTTTCTTAAAATTGATTATAAAATAAAAAAAATATGAGGAAATAATAAATTGGTAATAATCCTGCATATCTGTTATAAATTAGGTTCCCTAGAGTAATAAAGTTATCTAAAATAGTAAATTATAACAGATAAAAAATAATACTAAACTTTTATGGTAGAATTAAAATATATAGTTACTGTTCAATTAAAAATGCATTTAAACATATATTTATCATTTTATAGCACAATTAATTTTTAAAATGCAAAACTTTTACACGTTTAAGGATGATATTTATTACTATACATGTTTGGGATTGTTAATAATAAATTATTAAGCATTAATAGTATGATATTTGAAGAAATTATATTTATAATCAAAAATATAAATTAAAATAATAAATAATTCAAAATAAGTAGGATATCTTTAAGATTATTAAATATTATCGACTTAGTAGTTAAAAATAAATATGGATCCATAAAAAGTAAAGAGAAGAACAAGATTCGTTCTTAAGTTATGGGCAGCAGCAGCAGTGGTTTACTTCTCATATGTTTATCTAGTAATTTATTTATCGGACTAGCAGATATAAACTACTTATATATCAGCTATTATTAACATTATTAATCATCATTTTTTAATCTAACTCCTAATAGATCCCACAAACTTTTAATTACAAAGGAAAGATAGATGATTGCTGTTGCGAAGCAGAGCTTGTTCAAAATACTAATTAAAAAATTTATTAAAAATTAGATGAATTATCAGTAACATATTTGATATTTTTGATTCAATTTCTTTTTATTTCATTTTATAAAAATATCATAACGAAATTTATTTATTTATCTATTAAATATAAATTAGCATACAAAATTTTTTAGAACATTTAAAGTTAATATTGATACTGAATGCAAATTTTTCAGTGTTGAAGGTATTTGCAAGAGCTAAGGATGTTCAGTTTGTAGATGTGATGAAAATAATGTAATTTTTATTTTTTTTAATGTGCTTTATCTGATAATCTAGAACCAAATTTAGATTTGCAAAACGATCTAACTATTTAAATATGAATTACAAAATAGATTCCTTTACCTTGGAAAAAAACAGATTTCATACAATAATCAAAATATGATTATGCTGACTGGGCATAAGAACCAGAGGTTAAAATTACAGATGAGTGGTAATGGAGAGTTGAAGAATTTAACGAAAGTGAAGGAAGTTATGTAGACTTAAAAGACAACGTAGAAGCTTTTACAGGATATCAAGGTTAGAATATTTGGAAATTGATTTATGAAGAAAATTGTTTCTAAGGTAAACAAATTAAATTATTGTTGTTAGTTATATTCTTTGAAAATCTCATTTATTTAAAATAGGAGAAGATTTATGTTTAGAGTAAAGAGCCTTGAACAGAATATTAAGCGGACTGCATGCTAGTGTTAGCACATAGTTAAGCGAACTTTACATAGATTTTAATAAAAATAGAACAAAAATGTATCCAAATTGGAAATTATATTTTGAAAAAGTAGGAAATTATCCTGAAAGAATACATAATTTATACTTTTATTATTCTGTTTTACTTCGCGCTATTAACAGAGCTGAAAGTGTTATCAGAAATTACAACTTCACTACTGGAGACTTCTAAGAGGATGCCAAAACATATTAATTAGTTGGCGATATACTAGATTACACAACAAGTTAGTGTGACCAGCCATTCCACGAAGAAATATTATTTAATACAGATCAAGGAGTAAACAATTAAAAATCAAATAAATTATTTTATTAAAATGTATAAATTTTATTAAATTAGAGAAAATATAAGAAACACTACCAACAATACATCCACAACATAACTAAAATTATGGATTGTGTAGAGTGTGAAAAGTGTAAAGTTTTTGGAAAAATGCAAGTTTATGGTATAGGTGTTGCACTGAAAATTTTATTTTCTGATGATTCTTCTACTTAGATTTAAAAGCTTTAGAGAAACGAATTAATCGTAACATTAATTTTATATATTATTTTAACCTTAAAATAAATATTTTTAGACTTTAATAAACGCTTTTGTGAAGTGTGCAAGCAGTTTGGATGTTGTAGATAAAATGTTTTATAGAAGATTTAAATCTTATTTCAATATTGGATTAGCGTTGTTTAGCTCCTCACTATTTTTTATGGGCTTCTTATACTTTGCAATGGAAATTCAAGAAAAGTATCTTGGTCAGAAAATTAAAAAAATGTTTTAACATTTCCCCACAAATATACCTGACCCAAATAAAAAGAAATAAGCTGCAATAGCTCAGTAATAAGAATTAGCAAGAAAACAAATTTTTGGAGAAGGAAAAGCCAAAGATGATTGAAAAAGTCAAAAGTAATTGAATAATATAATAAAAAATGCAAAAGTAAATGAATGATTAAAAGTAATTAAAACAAACAAATAAATAATGAAACTGAAAAAATTTAAATTAAATTTGATTGATGATTTTAAGTGTTATCAGAAGTTTTAAAATAGTATTTTATTATGTATTTATATCTATTATTAATTATTAAATATTACTATTAATAACATTATTTTAATCAACAAATATATTTATTCATCAACTAAATTTACAAAATTTAATAAAAAAAATTGTCATTTAAAACCTTTAGTTTATTCTTAGAGATATTAAATTATACGAGTTTACAGTAATTATACAGACAAACATATTGATAAAAGAGTACAACAACAAAATTAATTAACAAAACAAAAAACATCAAAATTTAAAAAATAATCTGGATATTAAGATATATCTTACTTAATCTATTTATTAATCATTTAAAAAATACAAATTTACTTTTTAGCTATAAAAATGAAAAATAGCTAAAATAAATACTAAATAGAAAATTAAGGAGACATCAAAGAATCATTACTTGATAAGTTAAATTAATAGGAAAACTCCTTAAACAACTAGATATTTGATTCTGATAAAACTTAACCATATGATATACCGCTAATTGGATATAATACTATCACAAAAAATTTAAAGTATTCAATCTAAAATGATATAGGCCAATAGATTGATGTCTACTCATCAAGCTTAAAAAATTCATATGATCAAGAAAACTAATAAATTCATTAAAATTACTAGAACAATTTTGCATAATTAAATAGCCTCTAAATGTAAGATAGCACAAAAACTTTGAACAAAGAAGAAATTTAATAGCAAATATAAATAAATTAATAATAAAATGGATAGCAATAAAAGTATACAATTGCTAGAACTAAAACAGAAGGCTTAAATAATAACAACTTTAATAAGTTAAATCCAATATTTTTTTCATCTGATGTAAAAAAAAAGACAAATAAAATATATTCCTCTAATGATAGTGATAATAGACTGCATCAGCCAATATGCATAACAGAGAGCTACTTGTAAGGGAAAATTAGTAGTAGTTCTGATTCTTATTAAAAGATACAACAAATAAATGAAGATATAATTAAAAAGATGTATACTTATCAGGGAGATTAGCTTAAGGAAGAAGAATTTATTTAAAAACTCTACATAAACTCTCAGTTTCTTAAACATATAATTGCAGAAAATAAGAAGGTTCATAGCTAAGATCAATAATAATAGATCCCATAATTTTAGAAAAATACTTCTGAAAAGAATGGTATCTAAGTAGAAGTTGATACCATTAAATAAGAGCAGTAAATATAACTGCATGAATTTTAAGAAGGAGAATAAGATGAAAATGATAAACTTATAGAATTTACCAATAAGAAGTAAAATATTTAACTAAACTAGCTTTTATCGTTTAAAGATGAAATCAAATATTAATTTAAAAAAATACATTTTAATGTCGATATTGTTGAAATTAGAAAGAAATATAGAAAAAAAATATTCACTTATATAGTTTATGCTACATTTTTTTAATTCTTTGTTGATAATCTTATTAGCTAAATTGAATAAGTTGTCGGATAGACATTGTATGCAAATTAAAACTAACCCTTCAACTACTAAAGCCTAAGCACAAAAGTTACTCTTTATTTTGCTATATTTAACGTAGCATTCTTTCCGTTACTTATGGGATTCATCATTGATTAAATTTACAGCTCTATAGTAATGCTGTTATGTCTGATTGTAATGCTTTTTGGAAGGATTTTAACATTATACAGTATACTGATATAGACTTATTAAATTCGTGTATTAGCATAATTCTTTTACCAGTTTGGTGATTCTGGTTTCTATTTAACATCTATTTATTGTATTTATTTTTATTACTATGACCCTAAAGACACAAAGAAATTTGTTTTAAAGCTTACTAAGTACCTTGGGCTAGGTTGTTCTCTTCCTAGAAATTTGTCTTCTATTCCTATGATATTTGTTTATTAGGCAAGCTAAAATCTGAACCCAGAGAATATAACTTAATAGAAATATAATGATGAAGTTGAGAAGGCTATGCCATTTTTATTTGGTGATCCACAAAAATAAATAGTTTTCTCATTAATCACTGCTTTAGGTTTTTTGACAGTTTATTTTGGGTTTAGAGCATTATATTTAGACTATGAGGCACATGAATAAATGTCTAAAAAAAATTTTAACTACATAAATAATCCTCTATTTAAAGCCGATTTAGATGATTTAATTAAAAATATATTTAAAAACTTGAAATTTATCGGTGTTATTTTTGCTGGAGGATTAATTTATGGACTGACATCTCAAAATATCATATTTAATGTTGACAAAAGTATATATAATTAGGTAAATGGGAACATAGATAATCCACCAAATATGACACTTTTTATAATTGTTTCAGGTATAATTATTTATTTATTACTATTTATCTAAAAAAATATCTTAAAATATTATTAAAATAGGGCATGAACTCATCTACATCATATTTATATGGTATTTTGGAAAAATAATATCAAAAGATTTTTTTAAGAAATATCAAGTTTGGAAATTAAGTGCTATCACTTGCTTAACATATTATTTTATTTAGTTGATTTTAAGCATGACTGCTTATAATACAAACGAGAATTCTAAATTTTTTATCCTTGTGTTTCTGTTTATAATCAATATCTTCTCTGGTATTTCATTTTCAACTAATGTTTTGTGTGTAGATTCAATATTAGCTAAAGAAATTGATAAAAACTGTATAGGTTTTGCATATGCATTTATGATTGTCTTTAAAAAGTTGTTTGAACTCTTAGGAGATCTTTCTCTTGACTTTGATTTCTCTAAAGACTTGCCTTTTATCACTTTTACAGTTAGCATTATAGCTTTAATGATTATACTTTATATAGCGAAAAAATCTAAGTAAAATGAATAAATAATTGATTAAGATTTAAATATTTAAGAAATGGAATGAACTAACTGATTTATTTATTATTTTACATATTAATTTATACAAGATAGATTGATTAATCTGGATATTTTTTTTCAATTTAAATATAAAAAAGAAAATAGTTAAATTTTAGTTTTAAATTTTATAATTAAATTTATATTTTGTAGTTTGTTAATAATTTAAATTAATCAAATAAATCATTGTCTTTTTTTTCTTCTTTGTTATCTTCTCTTTCTAGGCTCGCAATATTCAACTGTATGGCACTCTTTTTTGAGTTCAGCATCACAGAATAAGCAAACATCTACAAAATCTGTTTTAGAAAATTTAATAATCTTAACTTGCTTCTCTTTTTCTTTATCAGAAGGTTAATCTTCTTTAATAATATGTTTGAAAGAAATAAGCTAGCTTTAGCATTTATCGCATTTCTTTTCCTTATTAACTTTGAGATCTTTATTTTAAATGGGAAGACTCCATTAAGTCCAGCATTCGTTACACATAGCAGCTAATTTTTGTGCTACTTATGGTTCGATGACGATATCACCCATTTTACAAATTTAGCATTCTTTCAAAAACTAAAATTAAAAATAATCATTTAAAATCAATCAATAAATTAATTTTTATTTTCAATTATAAAATTACCCTGGAATTCATTGAAAGCTTACATTCCTCATTAGTGCAAATAGAACATGTTACTTAGTCGCTTTCCATGTTAGGAGACTCTGTATAGCATTTAGGACAAACTTCAAATGAAACATTAGGAGTATGCAAGGATGTGAAAAAGATTACTTAATATTTATCATAAGGACATTTCTTTTATTTAAATTAAATTTTAATATTAAAACATGCTTTTTCATTTTGAAAATAAAATACTTACTTTTTCACCAGCTAATCTGTATTTACCATTTGATGGAATAAATAATGAAACATCGCATTTTTCACATATAATTTTGCCTGCCTTTTCAATAATTTTCATAAATCTATTACAAACTCCACATTTGCTAAACGGTTTTGCTGATTCCAGTGTGTCTTCAATAGTAGCTTTTTATAAATATTTAAAATAAATAAAAAATAAAAATATAAAGTATTAAATATCATACTGCAAAATTATCCAAACAAACTGTCAATCTTCAATATATTTTCTACAAATGTAAGGTACTTAGCTTAAAATATTCTCATAGAATCATTTATAACATCAGCAAATTGCTTATTTCCTTTAGCAATTTAATCAACCATATTTTCAATTTTAGATCTTATCTAGGGTTATACAAGCTCAGGATCTATTTTTTAATATCCATGGACAAGAGATCTTCCTAATTCAGTAGGAACCAAACTTCTATTTGAACCATTTATTTAAACATAGTTACGATTTACTATATTTTATATATGAGTAGCCATGGAGGCATCTGTACCAATACTATTTTTTTCCATCAATGATATAAGCTCTGATTCTGTGATGTAGCCTGGAGCACTAGTATACTCTTATTCTTAGTTAATACTGGTTACTTTAAGTTACTTACCTTTGTTTAATATATTTATTGATGATTAGTAAATATGTGTGTAAAATATAATAGTAAAATTATTTAATTTTATTTTTTCTTTTCAACTATTAATTTGAATTCTATAAAAACCCAAATTTTTACATACAAACCAAAAAAATAAAATAAAAGTTTTAGATAAAAATAATTTTACCTTGTTATAAATTAGAAGCTATAGTATTTTCACCTAAACTAATATGATCTTAAACCTCGGTGAAACCTTTATTAACCATTTATATTCCTCTTGCGATGAAGTTGTAATTACAGATACTTCCTTAAATAGTAATTTTCTTATATTTGCAATCTTCACTTAAACTAGCAATAAAATGCTTAGATATGTAGTCATATAATTTTCTTTCATCACCACCAAGAGAATTAGGATAATTTGTAGTTGGAGTAATGGGAGGATGATCACCCATATCTACTCCTGATCTTGGTTATTTATAATCTATTTTATCGAAATATTTTATTTTTTTAGCATTATAAAAATGTATTTTTTTAGTCAAAAATTAAAAGTTAAAAAAATACCTTGCAATAAATTAGAAGCAAATTTTCCATAATCAGAATCTGATTGTAAGGAATTCAATATTTCTCTAAATTAGAATGCTTTAGGATATGCTGTTGATTCAGTACGAGGATAGGTAATATACCCGTTAAGATAAAGCCTTTCAGCTACATGCATGGTCTCCATAGGACTCATGTGCAAATAACTTGAAGCTATTTTTAGTAACTAGACTGTATTTAATCCTTCAGGTCTTTATTTAGTACCAAAATCAGAACTAACTTAAGTAATTTGGATATGTTACTAATTAAGTACATCTTTGAAAATCTATAATAAATTAAAAAGTTTTAATTTAAAGAAAGTATTTTATTTTTTTTTACTTTGTTTGATTCTCCTTAATCATAAATATGACCTTTATCACAATATGAAACTACTTCCATCCCATCTTCTGTGACAAAAGTAGCTCTAATTCTGAAGTATAAACGGGGCTTGAAATTTTTAATCTCATCCTCTCTCTCAACACAGAATCCCAATGTTGGTGTTTAGCAAGGACCAAAAGATATAATATTTTCATTTAATTCGGGATATCTGTTACGGAAAAATAGTGTCTGATACCTTGTAAATGCAGCACCTTATAAATGATAAAAAACAAATAAAATACTTTGATAAACATTAAATTATTTATCTCTTTACCTATTTTAAGATCTATTATTTAACGAGCATCAACAGCCTTAGACTCGTTCATATTTGGGGGATCTCTTACATTTTTAAAAGCTTAAACTAAATCTGATTTTGTCAAAGAAGAAAACTTGGCTCTTAAAATTTATTGTGTATTTTATTCTTTACACATAAATGCTTCACATATAGATTTAACTTCAAAGCAGATGTTTTCACCTTCCCTATCGTTATCTAGCCATAAAATTAAATAAGATGCATCTTATGCTTCTTTTTCTAAATGTTTAACAACGCCTTAACTAGGATTAGCCTCAACTTTAATAGTTTTAGCAGAAAATAGATTTATAGGATTGACTTTATTCCACTGATCATATTCTTTCTAGAAATCTAAAGAGTAAACATGACCTGCAACACTTGTAACCTTTTTTTTAAAAATTTTTATTGCTTTAATTTTAATTAGATTTAAAATACCTTGAACAAAACTCTGTTTCCTTTGAACTATCCTTCAAATTCGTGCACAGGTAAGTATTTGCTGTATCCCTTTACAGACTTTGAAGAGTTGTTAGAAAGAGCGTCTGCAATGGATTTGGCTATAGAGGGTTTTTCAGCAATCATAACTACTTTTTAAAGACCTCCTCTTCTTTAACCATTATATTTATTCTAAGTGTAGTGATAGTAAGCATCTTCTTTTAAATAAAATGTCTAATTTTCATTAATATATTTTTTAGGATCAGTGCCCCATTCATTTGAAACTTCTTATTTTTCTTATTCCTTTTATCTAGCAGTCTTTCCTTTCAATTTACCTTGTCTTTAATCTTGCTATTTGCTCTCTTCATCATTTTATTTCTACTATTATGCTTATTAGTTATCTGCCCTTTAATAGCTTTCTTACTATTGGCTTTCATCCTTTGTAACATACTTAGTTTTAGCTGATTTTTATTCATATTTTTCAACAAATTATTGATTATTATTATTTTAATTTTTAGGAACATACTCTTGTTTTTGATATTCATTCCTCTATTTGTTTTGTTAATACTATTCTTATTATTAATTACTTTTGCTACTTTGTTAAGCTTAGTTTTACTATTAAGCAGGTATATATTCTTCATACATAACTTAATTTTATTTTTAATTCTTTTTACCTTATTGCTCATTTTTCTATACTTATTCTTGTTAAGTCTGTTATACTACGCTCTTAGGTACGTAAACAGTTTATTAGTTCTGTTAATCTTAGCTAGATTTTGGTACATAGATATCTTTTGTATTATTACTTGAAGTATTATTAGGCTATTTTTAAACATACTCTACCTTCTATTCTTAATATTGTAAAGTTTTCTTAGCAACATATTCTTCCTTCCCTTTTTATTAGTTGTTTTTATTGTTTTGGTTAACTTTAGATTAGTTAGAGTTATCAATAACTTTTTCAACAAAAACTTAATTATTATTTTAATTCTATTGCTAATTATTATTGCTATTTTGCTTAGTATTTTGCTCCTGATATTAATTTTTTTGTTAATAGACTTCCTAAACCTTTTTGACCTCATATTATTGATAATTTTGTTGATATCTGTCACCTTATTATTTTTGTTGATTTCCTTTAGTATTATACTTATTTCCTCTTTTTTAATCTTCATCATCATTATCGTCATATTCATCCACATCATTCTTAAGCATTCTCTAAAATTATTATTGCTTATTTTCATTCTAATCTTTTTAAGAATTGTTGTAGTTTTGTCTATTACCTCTATTTCTATTACCTCTATTTTCATTGTCGTTTCTGCTATCTTACTACTTATCTGTGAAAGTGTTAGAGTTTTGTTCATATCTATTATTTTATTGATCATCTTTACTTTAATAGCTTTTTTAGACAGCTTCATATTATGAATTATAATTTTGCTATGAGTTTTTAGCCTCATATTAATTATTTTGATCTTTTCTTTCATAAGCAGCCTAGTTGTTTCTATTTTCTTTCTTTTCATATTGCTATTTATTACTTTATTTATCTTGATTTCTTTGGGATTACTTATTCTTCTAATTATTATTATAATTTGAAGATTAGCTTTACTAATTATCTCCTTCATAGTAAAATCCTAATAGATCGTTCATCCCATTTACTGTAACTTTATTGTTGCTTTCATAGTTGATTTATTTTTATTACTTTTTTTACCTTTGTTGAGATTCATCTATCTATGAACCCAACGAAGGAAAATCTCTCTCTTATCTACTCATTATCCTTTTCTAGTTGCGTCTATTAAATATAATTTAATTTATTTGATTCTAAATTAAAATTGAATATCTACCGTATATTCTATAAAATTAAAATATTATAATACTTAATAAAATTTTTAAATTTCCTAGATTAAAACCTTATTTTTAAAACAATCTAAAATAAATAAAAATTTTTAAAAATCACAAAAACCTACCTATTTTGTATTGAAATTTTAATATAGACTTTAGCAACTCAGCTTGATAATAATTTTATATAAATTAAAAGTTTAGATTATTTCTAACTAATACTTTGTTTGGATTAAATAAATAGTTTGCAACTCAAGCGATTGGTTGGGCGGGATCATTTATGGTTAACAGATTTAAAAGTTCATATTAGAGTTTCAATAAACATTTATTTTTACTTTTAATATAATATTTAAAAATTTTCATAGCTCTAAACAATTATTTAATTAAATATTTTTGTGATTGATTTATTTATTTAATTTTGATTAAAATTTTTTCAAAACTTAAAAATAAGAAATTGTAATTAATTTTATTAAGTAATTTAAAAGTAACATCAAATTCAAAGTTGCATTCATATTTATTTATATAATTTAATATTTTATGAAATATTAAAGCTCAAAATATTAACTATGTATTTAAAAACCTAAGGCGTTTTAGTTTTAAATCTATATTTTGCTTTTATCAAACTCAAATTACTGAAAAGAAAACTAAACTGTCTGTGTATTATTTCAGTTAAAACATCACTTAATATCTTCATAGGAAATATTTTTAAACATAAATAATGAAAATTAACTATTTAAGAATTTAACTTTATTATAGATCACTGTTAAATTAAATATTTTTATTTAAAAAATACAATTCACTAAATTATATATACTTATTTATAATGTTTATATATCAGTTTATAATTCAATTTAAAATTAATTTATAATCTACTTTTCTTTTAATTTGTTTTTAAGTATTTGAGAACTCTTCAAGAATAAATTCATTATTATGATTTGCTTGTTTTTATTTTTATTTATGTTTGATTAATATTTTTAAATTATTTTATTATTTTAGCATATAAATTTAATTTAAGATTCTTATTTTTACCAATCTAAATAAAAATTATTCTACTTTCTATTAAGCTCATACATAGTTTATTGATTGATTAATAATATTGAATCTTATGAACTATTTTTTTTTAATTTTATCTTGCATTATAATTTTTATATTTATTTAACTCTCTTATATTAATAAATACTAGTTTTCAATTGTTTTCTTTAATATTTAACTCACTCTAAGGAATTGTTAGCAACTTTGGAGCCATCATATCAAATTTAAGGGCATATTCTGTAAATCTACTGCAAAGATACATTTCTTTCTATGATTAGAATAATTTAGATTAAAATATTTGTTAAAAGTAAATTCAACAAATAAAAAAAATAAAAAATATTTTACTTCAAAATCTAAAAAAGCTTATCTGTGATTATAGTAGGTGTGAGTAAATAATCTATATAATCTTCTAACTATAGGTGCTAAATTTTTTACAGCGCTTTACGGGATAGATACTCTAATTTAAATTTAAGATTTTTAAAATAAAAAACTATCGATGTATTTTTAAATAATCATTTACCTACTATTGTAATTTTTTATGTTTTATAAAATTGATGTTGATTAGTCTAAATTATGTATCATGTAATCAATAGCTGAGCACTATTTTTAATAAATTTGTTAAATTAAATGTAGATTGATTATTAAAAAATATTCTCAATAGATTTAAGAGTAAATTTACCTCTTAAGGCGTCTTATGTGCTGCACACAAATATAACCAATCATCAGCAGCTTTCATTTTTGGACAAGTTTAACTTGTACACACACCTTTTAATTAAGTAGCTAGCAGATTTAACTCTAAGATAAATTGCCTTAAGTGTTCATACTACCAAACATTAATATCTACGTCTTTTGGAGGTTCACAAATTTTTTGTACATTAGAAGGGTCATTACCTTTATTATTTATAAAAAATGATAGACTTCCTTGAAGTTAGATATGAATTTTTATTAAAAACAAAGTATATTACGGATAAGCTCTTAAATATATTCTTAAACCGCTAAAGGGCCTTGCATGTTAGAAACGTCTTCAATATCCCTTTTTTCATAAATACCTTTTAAGTATATCTTATTTTTATAAGCTAAATAAATACCAAGCCCATAAGTCGGCTTAGCGAGTTCCTGGTTTATTTCTCCTCATAAAACACCTTAAATATAAATTAGATTTAATAGCTTTTTTTTTTGAAATTATTAAACAGAATTGAAATTTCAAAAAATAATTGGAATGTGATGTATTTGTTTTTTTAATCAATCTACTTTAGAGTATTCATTTTTTGATTAATAATCAATCAATCAATACAAATCTTAAATATATGTGTGAATTTGTCAAATTATAAATTTAAAAATTGATTAAAAAAATTATAATTAAAATTTTTCAAATAAAATATAAAATAAAGAAATACAAAGGGAAAAACCCTTTCTTAAGAGCTCTCCTCTCATAAATTAAAATCTGAGAAAATGACATTTAAATTTTTAACAAATCTTAAAGTTTTTTAAGCAAATGTGAATAATCCATCTCTCTAAAATAGCAACTAACAAGTGCTAGGTATTACACATTAGCCAACTCCCCCAATAGTTTTTAAAAGATATTAAGTTTTTTATCATTTAGTTTCCACTTAAATAAAATGTCAACCAACTGTAATTTTCTCAGCTTTTAAATAAAAAAACAAAGATCAAGTTTTTGAAAATTTCTCTTCATTAACAAAAAAATTTTGTAATGAAGCTTTATTTCAATAAACAATCTTTGTTTAGAGGACCTCGCATCTTCAAAATGTCTTGTATGCAATACTTATGTCTATTATTTTACTTTAATAGCTGGAAATCTACCCTAAAAAGTAGACAAAGGCTAAGTAAAAAAATTAGCATATGTAGAGGCATCTCTTCCCATATTTATAATATATTAAAATATATAAAAAGTATTTTTTAAAATATAGGAAGCCTTTTAAACTGCCATTCGCCTTGCTTTGATAATAAAATTATTTAAATATGATAATAAAAATTATGAAAATTAGATTTCTAATATTAAAATAAAAATAAAAATAAAAAATATTAAAATAAAATAAAATAAAAAATTAAATAATTAAATAATTAAAATAAAAGAAAATAATAAAATAAATAAAAATAAAAATTAATAAATACAAACATAAATAGATATATAAAAATTAGCCATAGAAAATAATAAACTAAATTTAATTAGTGCTGCTACTAAATTGAATATAAATTTAAAATTATGAAATTTTTTTGTAATTATTTTAGAAAAATATGTACAATTTAACTGTAAAAAAATAATTAAATAAGTATTTTTTATGAAAAAAATTGAAAATTTTTCTTTTTAATTAAATATTTTGTAAATATAAATAAATTAAATAAATGAATTAATAAATAAATAATTTGAATAAGGGATAAACAAAGACATTAAAATCTATTATTACACAAATATAAATATATATACACACACACACTTACTATAAACAAGTTTAACTCTATATAAAAATTATCAGTTTTAACATCTAATTTATTAAAATGAAAAAAGTTTTAGGAAAATTTATTAAAATGATTTCTGTATCATCACTTTTATTCTTATAAAGAATATTATTTTCTTCTTAGATTATTTTTTGAATATATATTAAATTAATTCTATTGTTATTATTATTCCATATTCTACATTTCTATTTTTATTTTCAAAAAGCTTAACTTTTAATTTTTAATTTAAAATTTACCTATTTGCTTTTATTTTAAACGTTCTTTTAGATACATTTCTCCTGGAGAAACTGCTCTAGATTAAGGAAATCTGCCTTTAGTTGAAATTCTGAGAGGTTATTCTTTAACTTTCTAATTTAAAAATTTTGTGAAAATTTGAATTAGAATATAACAAATTTTACATATTAGGTTGCTTCTTTATTGTATTTATTTTGCTCCATTTTTTAAATAAAAGACTAGCTTGTTTTTAATACTTAAGGTTCTTCATCTGGAATTATTTCTAGTTTGCTAAATGTTTTAGTTAGATATTAAGATGAATTATTTAATATTCTGCTAATATTATAATTAGAGTTGCTTCTTTTAATTTCTTAGTATTCTTCATAACGAGAGTTATTTAATAAATTTTCTGAACTATTTTCATTCTACAAATACTAGCTCTTTTATTAAAAAATAATATTTATACTTTTAAAAATAATTCTTTCAAATTATAATGCATACTTTATTATTTTTGCTACGAACCTTTTAGTTGTATCTTGCTTAACTTACATTTAATTAATCACTAAATTGCAAATTGCTTTGGCCACTTTTATTAAAAGTTGTAATTAATTTTAAATACAAATTTTTAATTTTACTTGATATTAGTATGAAATGTAGAATCCATACTTCTTTCTTTCCAATGCTTGCTTAAGTTTTTTTTGGAAAACTACTTAGAATTTTGAAATGAGTTTTCTAACATTGAATTTGCTGTATTCCCAAAAAGAGCAGATAAATCGCTTTGTTTCCTATCAAAAATGCTGTTATTTCCTGTAAATGTTTTTTCTCTTGGATTATATGTAAAGGATACATTTCCAGATTTAATAGGAGTCACTTAGCTCGCTTTTAATACTTCATTTTATTGCTTTTATTTCTACTTCATTAGAATTGACTGGTTTGGAATCGTTAAAATCTTTCCGTTAATTATCTTAAACTACTAAGGAGGATTTTTAGGAGATTAAGATATTTTATTAGCTTTACTATCACTAAGAGATTAATTTATTCTCTTTCTAATGATTGTTTATTGGCGGTTATAATCTAATTTAGTAACAGTATTTCTATTTATATTTTCTTGATAATTTTTTATTGTCCCTGAAATAAAAGAGCAGTTTTCTATGGGTGGATTGTATACATTCTTATTAAAAATATTAATATAAATATTTTATAAAAATTAATATATTATTCTACTTGATTATTGTCAGATTTAAGGTATTTTTCTATTCCTTGAGGTTTAATTTATATCATGCTCTCTTTCAGATCTCTTAATTTAGGGTTATTCATAATGTTAAAATATGGAGGAGATTTAGGTGATGGTTATTAAGTATAACCATCGTATTTATCTTGCTAAGGAGTATAAAACATTTGCTTTTGATTAATTTATAGTGATTTTGGTCTTTCAGCTGAGAATTCCTCGTGCTAGTTAATAAAATAAAAATCAAAAATCTTAAGCTAATTAATTTTTATTACAAAATAATACCAAATACTCAAAATATTTTTTATGGCTGAATAAAGTGTTTATTATAAACAACCAAATAAATAAATATAAAATATATAAATATTATTTATTCTATTAAAGAAAAATTATATATAATAACTATTTATAAATTTAAATTACATTTGTTGCATATTGCATCCTTTGTTTTGCGTTTGCAAAGCCAGATATCTATGGATTAAAAGAAGGTAGATACTTTCCATTTTTAAACACTTCTTTTATTTTGCCATCATCTTTCTTTAATAAGTAATGTTAATCCTTCAAAATATCGTGCCTTTTTGAAATAAATAAGTATTATTTTGGAATAATTATTTCATTAGATTTATAATGTTCATTTCTTTTTAATGCTAAGAGTAGATACTGTATAATTTCATGCACTTATAAAAAATTAATTTTTAAAGTAAATTACCATATTGCAGTTCTACTTCTAACTTTTTTAGGCTATTAATGGAACGATCTTTCCTAAGAGCTCATTTAATAATAATTTAAAAGCCTTTTAATATCAAGGAATTGCTACTTTGGCTACTAAACAATAGATTAATTGTTATTTTTATTGATAAGTAATATTTAATAAGATATATTAATTTTATGCAAAGTAAAAAATCAATTAAAATTAAGACTTTTTTGATGTTTTAATGGTAAACAGATAACCACTTTTTATTCATCCAAAATTATAAATTAATAAATCCAAAAATTTAGAGTAAAGAACTTATCATTAAATTGTATAGGCAAATATTATTAATAAATTCAATTATAATCATTAATATTTCATTTTTTTCATCACCAATTAAAGCAAAATAATTTTTGGAAAATATTCATTTATTTCAGTAAAATAATATTTTTGTCAATCAAAATTGTATTAATATAATAATAATAATAAATAAAAGTATCATAATAAATAAATTTAATTGATTAATTCAATTTTATTGCTTATATAAGTAAACAATATATTATAATCATTTATTTATTTTTAATTATTAAAGTTTATATTTTTTTAAAAATTTTTTAACTTTACTATTTTGAATTTTATAAGAATTTAAATTGTATAAAATTATTTGCCATTAAAATATTTTGTAATAGAATTAAATCATAATGATTATGATAAATTACAAGACAATGATACAAATGTTTATTTTTAGAGATATTTGCTTAAAAATATTTGCACTAATTTTTTTTTTGAAATAATTTTATTTTTAATCTATTTGATTATTTTAATCTAAATAAAACTATTTCAATCCTTGTTATTGTATCTTAAATTATTATTAAATTGTCTGTTATTTTTATAATTTTTCCTCTTTTCCTTTTTAAAAATTCACTCTATAGTTTAAAAAAGCTATTAGTACAATTATTTTCATAAACATTCAAATATGTATTATCAAATAATGTTTATCAAAATAATTAAAATCTTATTTAATTAAATACATACTCTCAAACTAAAATATCTTAATAAAAGCCTTTTGCCACAAACATAACTAATAAGATGTTTAAATTTATTTATGCTTAAAATTAAAATAATATTAAATTTTAAATACTATTTCAATTTTACAAATTTAAAATAAAATTTTTAAATGATTTTAACATTTAATTAATTATAAAAGTAAGAAATAAAACAAATTAAATTGTTATTATTTGTTAATTTTAAGTTGTATTTGGTAAATTTATTTTAATAGAATTAAAATATAAAATTAAACAAAAAAATAAAGAAGTTAAATAGTTGTTTAAATGCTAAAATATTTTAATAAAAGTAGATATTTGATTTTATGAAATAAATTATAATTAGTTGACAATTAATTTTATAGCTTTGCTTATTTTTTTATTCAATTAATTTCAGTATGAATTTTAGATTTTGCATCTTATTGTGAATGAGGGAAATTATATCTAAGATATCTACATATAATTAGATTTGAATTCTTTATAACTAACTATCTAGAAATTTAAAAATAATTTTAGTAAATTGATGGTTTTAATTGAAGATAAACTGCAATACATTTTACAAATATTAATTATTAATAAGAATTAAATATATATTTAGCTGATTTCATAATATATGGACTAAATTTTACGATAAAACCCATACTAAGATAAAAACTAATAAATCTCCAAGTAGTCCTCCTGTGATTACATCATTGGCAGATAAAAAGTAATTTTGAGGTTTAAATCCTGTCTTTTATAAGCATAAAAAGGAAACAATAAAAAAGAAAATGAAATAAAGTATTGTTCCTGAAAATCCATCATATCCTAGTAAACCAGTGGCCAAGCCTGCATTCAAAGAACCAAATGTACGTATTTTCTTTAAAAGAGTCATATTCTTTTGCAACCTTTAATCGTTAATTGAAAATTGCTTCTTTTAAAATTCTAATATTTCCTTTTCTCTAGATTATTCTTATTTTGGTTCCTTGTGGGACTAAACTATTTTTTAAGAGCTCTACACCCTTTGAGCAGCTGGATTTCTTGGAGGCATTTTGCTACTAATTTATATTTTTTAGTTTAACTTTCTTTTAGTTTTAAAAAATTTATCAAATTTTAATTCAATAATTTATGATAATCAATATTTTTGATTTATTTACTAATTAAATAAATAAATACGCGTCAAACTTATTAATCCCAAATTTTACTTTAATAAATAAATAAAGCATTAATTTATATATATAAAATAAAAAACTCATTTAAATTTATTAATAAATAAACTAACATACTCCTTAAAAGAATATAAATATATCAAAATGACAGATAATTAATACATAATATTACAATCAAAAATATGATAATGTCAATTTAAAAATAAGCTAAAAATATATCTCTCCATAACATTTAATCATTAAGTTTTATGATCAATTTCAACTAGAATTTTTAATTTAGCAATTGAAAATACAAAATAATTTTTTAAAGATTAAATCCTACATTATAATTTTTAATATTTAATTAATTATTTCACAACTAAATTCTCTCTCATAAATGTTGTAATTTTTAAATTTTTTAGTCTTATCATCTTCAAAATGTATACAAATCAAACAAATAAAGAAAGACCTTATTCATTATCAAATAATATATTAAAATAATTTTCATTTAGTTTTTATTTTATTATTATTAATTTATTATATTTTTAATTTTATCTCTTCTATTAAAAAAATCTTAAATTTTGATTTAATATTTTTTTAAATTTGATGCTGATAATTTTATTAACTTTAATAAAAAAAATTAGATTTATATTTCTAATATTTACCATTTTAATAATAAAATTAAATATAGACTAAAAAATATTCAAATTTAAAAATATTATCTTATTTTATTATAAATTATTAGTTTTACACTCTATTTCTAGCATAATTAAATTATCGAAAATTGATTTAATTTTACAGTTAATCAGTATTATAATTAGATTTACTATATATTTTAATCTTTAAACGAATTTTACAATTTTTTAAATTAAAATTGTAGTCGCTTTCAGATTTTTATGATAAGATGTTTAAATGAGTGTTAAAAACACAATAATAAATTTATTAATTAATT